GTTGCAGGATAGTTTGCATTTTGATGAATGAACCAACTGCAGATTGAATTCTGTATACCTAATTCAAACTTGCCTAGCATAGATCAACAAAATGTAAATGTGTAGGAGGAGGAGCTGATGTCACATAAATGGTACGAAATTATTCCCTGCATCCTGCTACCTGTGTACGCAGTGAGTCTGAACCCTCACAGGTGTTGTGCTCTCCTACTCCCATTTGAAGTTAATGGGGGCTTGGCACCTCTGGAAATGAGGCCCAGTGTAGCGACTGATAAACATCTCAGAGATCCAAGTAACAGAAGGGAAAAGCAGAGGAAAAAAAAAAAATCTACTGAGTTAGAATATTTATGGCTTTTCTAGAAAGGAAAACTTTTGCCATAGTCAAGTATTGTCACATGGACTTGGAAAAGATGCCCGCGGAGTCAGTTAATGCTCTGGGAGTGCTTATCAACCATCTGTTCATTTACTGCTAAGTATCTATGGGAAAAAGGTGCTTGGGACAGCTTGGCTCAGGAAATATAGGTGCAGCAAGGCTTTTATATCACAGAAAAGAACCAAGAAGCCCAGCAAACGCTAATCAGCAAAACACTTGCTGTATCATCAGAGAGACAAGTGATGTGGAAGGAAGATGACGTACGCTGAACACTGCTTTATGAAAAGGTCTCGTCTCTGACACTGTGAAGTTCCTCCCTGCAGCATTATTACACATAATCGCTTGCAGAAATCGCAAGTGTTCCTGGGCTTCAGTTTAATTGTACATACACATCTTCCACAAAGACAAACATCATTAAAGGTTTTGTGATTTAGGAACACCTACATGAGTTACTTGTGACTTTACAATGTCTTTAGAACTTTTCCGAGACTCAATACAAAATAGTGAGGAAATTGCTTTCTCTAGTGGCTCGAAAAGAGTAATGGAAATGTAAATTCAGCTAGAAAGCACATACACAGCAGCAAACTAATAACCAAAGGGTGATAGGGTGATTTCCGTATTATTGACGTTATGTATATATGTCAAATTCCGGATTTCTACTGCAAGAAAGAAACAAATCAGGATGCTGTCTTGCAAATGCTATAAATCCTAACTGAGAACCTGCTTTTAGCAAACCAAATTTTGACAATAAATACAGGCAGCAGTGTAAGGTATGTGAAATCTGTAAGCATATTTTCTGACAAAAACTTAAATTTGTATATAAAAAGAAATAGATAAAATGTGTGTGATTTGATTTGTTTTTTTGTTATAGGATATCTTCATCCAAAAAGAGAAGTACAGTAGACTGAAGCTGGAATTTACCATTGTGTGAAAAAAAGAACAAAAATGAAGTTTTTTTCCAAATAGATTTTAATCTAAAATCTATTTTCTATTACTGGTATTCTGTAGTGAAGTTACAGCATAGAAAATGTCACAGCTCAGATTTCCAGGGTGCTGGGTGAAAGCTCATTTTGAAAGGTGATAAATATGGTAAAAAAAAAAAAAGTCAAAAATTAATTTTTTTCAACACTACTTTATGAGAAAAAGCACTCCAATTTTTAAAAAGCATATAGCTCTTACTATACTTTAGCTTAATTTTTTTAAGTGAAAGAATAAAACTTCTATAAAAGTGTTAGCCACCAGCTGCTGTACCTTAGTACAGCTTAAGTGGTCAACCTTTAAAAAAATCATTATATTCTCAAAACTAGCTTTGGAGAAGCATCTGAGGCTGCATATTTTGTTTTTACATGTTTGCACATTACATTATACTGTGGGCGGTGACAACAGTATTTTGCTGCTAGCGTCTGCGGTAGTGGTGGTGTTTGCTCCTTGACAGAGGTCAGTAATCTTGCTCTCCTTTCCAACAACTCATTCAGACATGTCCTGCTGCCTATAGCAGCAGTGTTAATAAAGGTTTATTTTAAATGAATAGAAAGAAGTGGGACTCCACAGTTTGCCCTGGGAAGCTATTACAAGTAGGGATGGCTGTCGGGCAACTGGGTGAGCAGAAAGCCACTAGTGGGAGAAACAAATAGGCCTTCATGAAGTACTTTTAGGGTGGTCTACTTGAGAAGATGACTTGTATAATTTCAGATTTCCAAAGTATATGTGACACTGTGGGGTGGAGGTTGTTTATATGTTTAGATATACATATATATATATATGTATTTGTGTGTCTGTGTGTATGTATGTATGTGTGTATATTCTGAGCTACTTCGGTTTTTTATAGCAGATTCCACAAGAAGTTGGACACTAGGGGTTTAGGAGTTTGGGGAGAACAAGCAGAAATTTGGGAGTGGGATGGGGAGGAAAGAAGAGCTTATCCAGCACTGGCGCCTGATGTGAGTTGATTAAAAGGTCAAGCCATATTAGCGCTCTGCAGAAACTGAAAGCTGTACTCTTTGGTGAAAAGAAATTCAGTCCTGCCTATAAATCAACATTGGGTTTGTGCCAGTCTGCCGAGATGAACCCCCTCCTCCCCCCCACCTCATACATGCCGGGCTCTATCTCTCGTGAAGAAAACTCACATCAGGAAATGAAACAGCCCTGGGAACTCAAGGGAAAACACAGTATTGCGAAGGGAGGTCAAACGAAGTGGAAGTCCGCTGCTTCCCATTGCCAGCTGCAGATCTGGCTGCGGGAGGCCAACACTGTTGAGGACGCACATTATTAAGATATATTCTTCAGATGAGCTTCCAATTTTCTAATTTTCTTCTAAGCTTCCTATATGTACCAGATTTGGTCCTGTACTTCTGCAAAATAGTATTAAAAGCTGAAAACTGACAAAGGGTCATGCAGACTACACAAGACAGACAGTGGGCTTTATTTTTGTGCTTTTCCGTGTGAAGGTTTTGTTATACATATAATGCACTAAATAGGCATTTTATTTTTGAATTCCTGAATTTGAAGCAATGGCAGCATGTATTTGAATATCAGTGATAATTCTGGACATGTTTGATTCACATCAAACATCCATAATCAGTCTCACGGTGAATAACTGACAGTCAGACGCTGTCTATAGGGCAGTTTTGTTTAGCTTGCAAAATAGGATGGTTACTTTGTGTGACGAGATGGATATTATGTAAGGAAAAATTAAAATCGCCATGAAATACATGGAAGATAGAAAGATAGCATTTGTTTTATGGAACTAGTTCTTAGTCTTCTAGCCTAGCACCTGGTCTTTGACATAGGTGAGGGACCTTTAAATCTGAAGAGTGGATGTTAATATCAGTTCCAAGGTTTATTAACTTTATATATTTTAGGTCCTAACATTCTTTTTTAGTATATAAATATCCAGCACTTTTTTTAAATCTTCCTTTGGATCTCTAAATTCTACAGCATCTAATACAAGTTAGAGTTCTTCACTTAATTTCATGTTGCATGAATAAATATTGCCTTTCATTTGTTTTAAGTGTAGGTGTTGGCATTTGTATGTTGCAGTCAGTGCAAGGCCTCCATTCTAAATTTAGTTCTGTTTTCCTTGTGTAGATGAATACTGGAATTTCTAAAAAAAAACCTTTAAAATCTTCATTTGAGATATATGTGATTGTTTCTTTGGTTAATAAATATTTATTAGATTTTTACATGATAGTAAAAATTTCAGATAAGTACAGCAAAACTTATTTTTAGGTAGAGAACTGACGGTAGACAGTAAATAAACAGGAAAATTTGTATTTCGATTTGACATGGAGTAATTTTTGCTGATAATAAATTTTGGAAGGTGCACCAGGACCAATGGGAAGGGAGCGTTAACCCTACCAATATTCTTCAGATACCAAATCAGTGTAACAAATTGTTTTGAGATACCTGTCAGCAAACCTCCTTGCAAGTTCCAAGTCTTTTATATAGCTTTCAGGGGGAAAAAATGCTTTTTAAAATTCCGCCTTGTTAGCTGTACAGAATAATAGCAGGTAAGAAAAAGGTAGCTAAATTTCTGCCATCTAAGAATGTATTAAACAAGTTTCTATTACTGAATGTTTAATACTGGAGGTGATGTACAACCCAGGCGTGTACAGTATGCCTGTTATCCCAGCTTGAATTTGTGGATGGAAAGAAATCTGTTCACTTGTTAATTCAGCAGCTTTTTTGCAGACACTGTAGAGAGTCAGTAAACATAAATCTATCCAGAATCACTTTTCATGATATACTTTTTGTTTAAAAGTGCGATCCGCTTATATATCAATCAGCGTTGCAAAACAGGCAGTCTTTCCTTGCAAAAGTCTTGAGTGCTTTTTCACTCCAAAATTTTTTTCAGTCAAAATGAATTAGATATCATAGCAGAAAAAAAACCCTCTTAATTACAGATTTCTAGTAACATTAAATACTATGTTCAGATATAATTCCTGTTGTGATTTATCTAGAGAAAGTTACTTTCCCTAGTGCTCCCATGATTTTCTTTATTTCTCTTTGCTCACCTTAGAAGAAGGTACTATACTTAATTCATTTTTTTGAATGAAAGAGCAGCCTTCCTCCTAGAGATCGCCATTTAAGACCCATTTTTGTTTCTACAAAATGAATTCTGTCATTAGCTTTTAACCTTACTGTGGTAAAACATTATTTTTACTATGAAAAGGTTATTTTACTGCAGGCTTTCTTTCTAAAATTCTCTTGGATTATTAAATTTTGGGGGGATATTTTGAATTACTTTTTCTTAAAGGTATGGCGGTATTTGATACATCAATAATAGCTCATTTGGTTTCTTATCCAACGCCTACTAAGGCAACTGGACACCTTTTTTTTTAGTTCTTTCAATTTCAACCTAATCCCATGCTGTTTGTAAAGAAAGGCAACGATCTCCATAATTCCACTTGCATATGTATATATATATTTGCATATATATATATATATATTTGCACTTTTTTTCTTAGAAATTCTACCTTGTGGGTTGTATTTTCACCCCTTGTGTGTATAGACTTTTCATATATGTCAATATATCTTCAGACTTGAATGAGGACGGAAACACAGACTCCTCTAAGCCTCCACCTTTTATGCATCAGAAAAAGCTGCTAACGTTATTTTTTGTTTATTTCAGGTTTCTTTTCTCCATGGAAAACTCCAAAGCCTGTAAGTTCCCTTTCAAAATTATACTCATTGAGTTCATATGATGACTATCATTCAAAGCAAATTTCTGTAGACCTTCATCTAACCTACCTGTTCCCAGCTAATGAGACACTTCTCAGCAGTACCCCAATGCTAGGTGAGACACAGCATCGGGGTGGCCATGCTAATAAGCTCTGCAGATCTGTTGCCTTGGAGTCTGTGCTAGCACTTCTGGGATCCACAGCGGTGTTGCAGTGCCAGTTATGGCCTGCAGAAGGGAACAGTCAGGCTGTTAAAATGGGTGGCAAGCGTCGAAAAGGCAACGGCTCAAAAATGGGGAGTGATAAACAAGCAGCCTGCAGGAGAAGGCAGCAGAAGACCACAATGTTCAGGCTAGTCTAGTTGGGAAACACTGATTTATTCTCCTTGCAGTGGATAACAAAGACTTTTTCTGTTTTACAACTGGATTGAGCTTAACATCTTGAAAGTGATTGTTATTCATTCTTACATTAGATCTAGAGTTGGAAATAGCCCCACTTCAAGTGGGAGGTTGGACTAGATAATCTACAGAGGTCCCTTCCAGCCAACCTTCTGCTGTTCTATGATTTTGACATTTAACCCTAAGAGATTAACTCATGTCCTGTTTTAAAAGTATCTATTTCCATTAAAAATGTTTTATCAGTCAGATACATTTCATTAACACAGAATCATGCTTAGACCTTCAAAAGCTAGAAAAGTGATAGTATCCTGACTACCTGATGAATATCAGTTGTTGTAAGTAAACACCATTTCAGTGTTAGAATTTTAGTTGGGCTTGAAGATATGTGGAACTCCTTATAATAATTACTATTTTGAGGCTATTGGCTTGGATAAAAATACCTTCTGGAGTTAGTCTTTGTGCAATGCAGTTGTGGCAAAATTATGAAGACTGTAAGCAATGACTGTTTATTTTGTCCACGCCCTATTAAATCATTTTTTAAAGTTGTGGCAGCATTCCCAGTGCAAAAAGAAATTGCAAGACACTATTTTTGGCTCTCTGCTTTTTTTATTTTTAATCTGGCTTGTCTATTTAGATTATAAAGCCCTTAGGGTAGTGCCTGTCTCTCATGTGAGGTAGGAGGAGGAAAAAAATGTCCTGACTCTGCCTGGAGGTTTCTAAGAGCAATAGGAATAACAATAGCAGTATTTCTTAAGGAATTTATAGCTTTCTAGTTTTTGTTTTGGAGCTTTTTATGCTTTATTTGGACTACTTCATATCCTTTCATATTAGATCATGGCATGTTTAATGGATGCAGCAATAATTTTTGTAGTCTGTGAAATACAAATAGCAATTAATTAAGCAGTTGATGCAATTTCATCAGATTGCAATGGTTTCAGTGTAAAATCCCAAAGGATGGATGCAATGTATTGCATAAATACTGCAACATGAGTTTGTTTATTGATCAGAATAGCAGAACGTCTGTAGGCTTCTGTGCAAATAAATCTGTCTATTAAGGGCTACCCTGTTCTCACCAGTTCAAGGTTCCTGTCTGGTTGAGAAGTTCAAATTTACCCTCAGTTAAAAGTTAATGCATTCATTTTGCAATGAGGAAATAGAGAACTTGAAACTTGTTAAAGATCCAAATCCAAAGATCTCCGACTGTCAGTATTCACCTTTTTAATGTGCATATCAACTGTATATATATCAGCATATTCTTGATAATTTTCCATACTGTTTTGATATATAAACATCTAGTTCATAATCAGGTAACACTTGCCAATAATCAGAATCTAGAGAAACAACTGTTCTGAATGACCAGTTCTTCATACAGTAGTCTAAGGACTTTAAGCAAACCAGTGCTCACAGAATAAGGTAACACCACAGTGCGTTGATACTGTTTCTGCATGCAGGCTAACCACACACAACTAGACTATCTGGGGGGTCTGAGCGGTCTCAGCATAAGAGCGGACAAGTGATGAACCAGGTTAAGGTAGTGTGCATTCCTCTGTCTGTCACCCCTTTATCTAGAGAAATAATTGGACATAAATTTCTAGCATTCTTGATGTGAATAAAAGATTGAAACTGGGTGCCATCAACACACTACTGGCAGCCTATCTGCAGCCAGTCTGATGAGGTAAGGCCAGCCCCAGGAGGTGAAGCAAGCCTTCCCAGCACCACAGCGCAGCACTGCCTGTGCATGACAGGAATGAAACACTACTGATGGCCCAAAACCAGATTCCTTTTCTGCTTGGGTGAGTGCTGGAAGGCACCGCTGCTGCCCCTTGCCTCGCTGGCCATGTAGGGGAGAAGCATCCCCTCTTCTCCTTTGTAGCAAAAAGGGGACCACATTGGCTGGAAGACAAGAAGAGAGGAGCTCCACTCCATGAGGGAGAAGCTCAGGGATGGAGCATTCTGTGTCATGGTGTGCTCAGCATCCCCTACTAATCTGAGTTTCCAGAAGCTTCAGGTGATTTCTACATATATAGTGTACATATGCATAACATAATCAGTGCAAACTGAGCTTGAGCAATTTCACCAAACCTTAACCTAACTTAGATTTGATGCACTTCACTCAATATCATTCTTACTGATCTCCAAGAGTGTCTTTATCTGTGACCTAACATTATGGTACTTTACATTCCAAAACACTGCCTAAATATTTAACTAATTGGTATAGGTTTGGGAGATATATTTCCCCTTTGTTTATCTGTTTATGTAACTGCTTATGTTAAGAGTATTCCCCACAGGTAAGAACGTCATGCTCAGTTTCTAACTTCACACTTAGAGATTTAGAGCTAACCGGAATGCAAGAATTAGACATATGGTACCCAGCAGGGCTTCAGCAACTGATCTCCAGTTCCTTGTCCTTCCGCAAGGAAGGGCAAGAATTCTCCCTTCTTTTTTCAAAACCTTCTTTGAATGGTTTAATTTTACTCTGTTTAACATTTTGGAAGAGTTATGTTCTATTTCTGTGCTACTCTCCAAGAAATTAGGAAACATATTTGCTTCTAGGTAGACTGGGCCCCCCCCATGTCTTTCTGCTTCAGGCTGATAAGGTAGATAGTTTGGTTTTACTGACTTCTGTTCTTTTTTAGACTCCTCACTGAAGGCAAAACCTAAACTTAATTCTCCAGTGATCATTATTTTCCCTGATCATAAGGAACTTGTATTGACCCCAGTTCTCCTTTCCTGCTTAGACATAGTGGTCATATTCAGGTTTGTTTCTGGAAGCCTTTGAATTTATGCATTCATGGTGCAATGATTTCCATATGTATATGTATATATACCTGAGATAATTCCTTTAGAGCTAGAAGCGCTACCAGTAGTATTACTGAGATTTTTTTAGTTGATTGAGAGCTCAGGTATTTCCATAGGGCACTTCATTGCACAGGTTATACATACCGATAGTGTCCTCTTCTATGACACCCTAGTAACCATTGTCTATGTGTGACACATTATGTTTGTGCCTTTCATGAACAACACTGGCTAGAGTTGAATACACTATTCCAGATCCTCATCGTTAACACTTCAAAGCATTAATACTTCCTTTTCTCAACTTAGATCTGATACCTGATACATACTTTTGGGTCAGTCATCCTGTGATTGACTGAGACACCCAGATCTTTCTTTTCTTCCTTGTTTCCAATGAACCAGCCCTACTTAGAGCAAAAATTCTGACAATTAGCATAGCTTGAAGTATAAAACTACTCTGTGTAAAGTAGACAACAACTGACTAATAGCCAATATCCAGATTTTGTTTATCTTGATGTATGAAGCTAACAGTCTCAGACTGCTTGGGACATGCGGAGTGATAGTTACTGGGCATGTTCACCAGAAGGACTCTAAAACATCTGTATTCCACACATACTTGGTGTGAAAAGGCATACTGCTGTTAATCATCAGAATACAAAGCAAAGCCTACCTGCTGAGCTAAAACACATTCAGAAATGGAGAAAGTAAAGATAATCACAGAATTTGCACAGCAGACTTACTGTAAACCTGCAATCATCTTTGATAAGGCACTGCTAATACAACACTAGAATTCGATGGTGTTGCATTAGATTTGAGTTTGTTTCTGAGAGTAATTTTTTATGGAATTAAATGATTATTGGATTAAGTTAGAGAACACACTGATCTGGAGGCTTTACAACCATTTGCTTTAGGAGGGATCAGAGGATAGAGCAAATATTCGTTTCCTGGAATAAACATTTGTGTTTTGTTTAATTTTGCCCCTTCAAATGCATTTACTAATGCAATTATTATTAGTAACCAACTCCTTTGGAAAGAAAAATGCCGATCCTCAAGTCTTCTTTTACAGTGTATCATACTATCTTCCCTCTGGATTGATGTGAGGCCACTAAAGATTATTTTGGAGCAGACATGGATTGAGGTGACTTTGATGCATAGACAAGACACTGTAGTGTACTTCTTGCTTCAAAAGTGGTCTGGAAGAGTTGAAAAGCTTATCCTGTGCATTGGGTGCTTGGTTGGATGATAGTGATGTAATATTTGATATAAGAAAGAAACCATAAGAAATGAAAAAGACTATATCAATAAAGAGATTAATGCCCACTTTTCTGTCATCATGTTCTGTATTTTATCATTTAACATTTGATTATAACTGGATGCTCAAGTAGCTGCTGTAATAGTTTTCCCCTGTCATTTCATTGCTACACAGTCTATATACACTTCTTTGTTAATCAATATTTCAGTTTATGTATTTTGATGAATGTGATAATTATATCTTCGTAGTAACACAGGTTCTGCATTTAGCAGAATAGCTTCCAATGACTCAGGGCATTCTGTAAGAGACATTCAGCAATGATTCAGGTATAACGCTGGGTCCTAATCCACATGGGATCATATTATCTGAGAAATATCACATCTTCTCATGACAAGCAAGTTAAATAAATTTAACCAAATAATTTCAAAAGCAACACAACACACACACCTTTCATCTCAAAAGACAGCAGAGGGATTTGTTAATTTTTACAAAATATGTATTTGCCTTTAACTGAAATCACTGTCTTTAGTGTGATTTAGTGCTTTAGTGTACCACAGTTTTTGCAAAACTTCATCTTTATTCTCTGTATGTTTTTATTGCAGATGATGGAAAGATGGGAGAATCAAGGCAGCCCTCAGACAAGTTTGTCTGCTCCAGCTATACCACAGAATATTCCCTATCCACCCACCCTTCACAGGAGTTCATTTCCTGATTCAACAGAGGCCTTTGATCCACGAAAACCTGACCCATATGAGCTGTATGAGAAATCAAGAGCTATTTATGAAAGTAGGCGTAAGTGAAAGCCCTGTTCACCCTGCTGAGCATTTAATATTTTAAGCTTTTGCCTATGAATGTGTCACAGCTGACATAATTTTCCATAATTATATTTTGTAATTTAAAGCAAGCCAACTATGAGCCCAGTTAATACAGGCCATTTTAAATTATTCAAAATTCTACTCTTAATATGTTTTCCTGGATATTGCCTAGATTTCAAAGTTCGTCTTTCACAGTTTTGTTTCCTGATATTACCCCCTCCTCATTTTGACTCTTAAATCCTTAGCGAAGAACAGTAAATGTGGCAATATATTCTGCTGCACTATTCTTCTTCATAGCCATCTAACAAAAGGATATGAATTTAAGATGAAATTGTTCAGCTTACTTTCTCTTTAAAGTGAGGTTTATAAAAGAAACTCTAGGTTTGTCTGCTTTTATAAAAATTATTTTAACATGTTGTGACATTGTCCTTAGTGATTAAAAACAAACTATACCGCAAGTACTATTTGAAGAGCTATACAAAACAGTAGTGGGCTGTGAAGATTCCCATCTTAATTTTATTTGTCATGTTTCTAAGGAGTATACCACATATTTTCCTTAGCAAGGGTAAAATGGATTAAACTCATTTACTCCTTACTATAACAAACATTTTAGCTAAAAGTGTTGTATTTTAAGTCATCCAGAGTTTCATGCTTACTGAGATCAGAATTTCAAAATAATTTATTTTTTAATTAAGGGTTTCTGCATAGCGCTTGTTACTTGCACATACCACCTTTCATTTCATTTTAGAAATTTCTTTATTCTATAAGTTAAATTACTTCATAAATTAGACACAAAATATTTCCCTACTGCTAATTCTGATTAGCCCATTCATATTAGACATAGAGATAAACCTAAACTTCCATTGTCCACGATCTGGAAGAGACACTTTTCTCCAGTTTGCACAGGTATCATCTGAAGGAAAGAAGTTATTGTCCTAAACCTTGGGTCAGTGCAGCTATTCCGTAGTGCCTTAGCCTTTATGCTTGAGTTGCAGCATCGGCACCTCGTGTTTGACTTTGGGATTGGCACCTAGTGTTTGGGATTCCCTGTCACCGGCGCCACGCTGAAGTAACAGTAGGGTTCCTTTTGCATCATCTCATGGTCTCTAAATTACATCTCAAATTCCTTTATTATTTGTCACTGTGGCCAGTGCCACCAGCTTCTGTCACCCTGGTCACGTAGTGGACCCGCCCATCTGAGCCATTCTCCTCCCTGTTCCTCCAGGACATTCATATTACCTTTGCTAAGGTCATTCTTTCCACAACCCTCCTTGTCACATCCGCCCCCTTTCCTCATGTTCTCCTACAGCTACCTTTTGCCAATGAATGTAGTTCATGTCTTCAGAATCTGAAAGCATGTATCTCCCTTCCCAATTGCTGATGATACCAGTAAGCATTCACTACAGTTCGGTAATGGCTCACTCCAGACTGCTGACTGTATTTCTCCCAGAAAACACTTTCTTCCATGTTAATCTCTCCATATGGAACACTTTTCTGGATTGATCCATATAGCCATCTTCAAATGCATTTTGCATACAGTGCATTACGCTGTGCCACTTAGGAAACAAAGACTCTGATTGCATCCATCTCTGTCACTCCCTAGATATGATATTCTCTGCAACCATGGCCCTTAAAGCTGTAATAACCCTGGAGTATTCTGGGAAAGAATTCTCCTTGCAAAGGTATGATAGAGAACATCAGCTGACTTGTGCAGCATCTCTGCCATCCCTGACATCTGGGGCGTATCAGAGTACACAAGTAGTACTTAGGCTCCTGTGTAGTCCAGTATTTTCAAACCTTTGCTTACGTAGCACAGCACAGCAAAGTAATTTTGAGGTGTACTGTCAAGAGATTCAGTAAACATTCTTACCTTTGAACTCACTTTTCTTAGTCCAAATCTTTCTTCCTTTTTTTCTTTAATAGATGCCTGAAATTTAGTTCCTAACTTTATATTTAGGTACTTGAATAACTTACTGAAGTTTTTCAGCAATACCAAGTATCTCGTTCCCCCTAAATATGAAATTGGGAATTTACATTCAAACTCCCTTAAAAGTACCTGATCTTCAATTATAAACTGTTTAGAGCAGGAACTGAGCCTGCTCGTGTATTTACACTGTACACCACATAGCTCATGCTGACTGCTGTTTTAATGCAATAAATATTATTTACTAATGCAATATCTTTCTCTGCTCCAGAAATTATTCTTGATTGGACAGGGTTCCCCAAACAATGTTTTTACAGAATGTACTAGCAAAGACAATCATTTCTGTAACTTTGAAACTCTTTGAAATGTGGATCAGGATACAGTGTGGAACAGGGCAAAAAAGCTTGAAAGAATTAGGCCAAGATTGTTTGGAAGTTTGGAAATAATTTTCAAACATCTCTCTTCTTTCCCCTTCTTTCTCTTTCTCTTGCTCTTGCTCTTGTTCTTGCTCTTGCTCTTACTTTTTCTCTATTTTGTGTATTAATGGCCAGAATGACAAGTAGATATAAAGATTTTCCAGAGCTGAAATTTTCCAAAGTGCTGTCTTCTGGGACTATAAAGAGAAGTTAAAGGAAAAAGAAACCATCCTATAATTATCAAGTTTTTTTTTTTTTAAATCTAATTCAGCATCTCTGCTGAAAACACACTTGACTTCATGTACTGCTTTAAGGAAAGCGAAGCTCTTTGCAAATAATTGCTTCCCATATGGGCAGTTTTCTATAATAAGGAAAGTATTTTAGCAGAACTCTGCACTTTCAGCAGAGGCTGAACAGTCTCTTGCGGTTAAAGCCACCAAGACAAGAGTGGAAAAGTGCAGATTACAGACATTCTACACTGAAACAAAAAGACAAGAAATAGTTTTATATATGGTATGGTATCTTCTTTGACCTTGATCCCCCGATATGAAGAGTTCCGTATTTGTAGAATTTCCCTAAATAGTAATGGAAGCAAAGAGGCATGTTTGCCCTTCATGTGACTATGTGGGAATATAGATCTGCTGTCAAGTACAAAGTTTGACATGCACGCCAAAGAAGATATGCTACCCCCAAAAGGAATCTTCCATTCGCTAAAAGAATTGAATGATTCGTTAATACTCATAGGTGCTTTCTACAAGTTTTCTGGTTACTTCCCTTGGTCAATATGAACTCCAGTCTTTTACTGATAATAATCTACTCTGTTCAGTAGTATATACTAGGCCAGGGAA